TACGCGTGTATGTACATCGCGCAACCCCCCGCGATCGTTCCGATCGCGCGATTCCGCGCGGTGGATGCGCGCTCTCGCGATAATATCGGGAGAAAATATTCTTACGATTTCCTCGGCAACACGTACGCCGGCTCGCCATTTCCACACGTGGGAAACACCTTCCTGTTATTCTCCCGATCGAGTCCGTTCGAGTATCCTTTTACGGAAGCTAGCGTCAAGAGTTTCTTTGCACAACTGATAGCTTTCGCAAAACTATACCCCAGTGATAACCTTTTACGCTGCTTATTCTTACTCTTGTGGGTGGATAAAGATAGATTTTGAACAAGCTCGATCAGCTGTCCTTAATTTTTTCATTAACTCTCCCTCTTTAACGGAAAAATCTACGACGATTTAGGAAATTTATTTCACTTGCATAATTTTATCAGCGCAATATGACCTTCGATCTTTGTTTGTTCTGTAAAGCGAAATTTCTTAGTTTATTGCACGAGAGCGCAATATGCTAAAGATTGTAAGTGTACATCGACGTGTTGCACGGCGGACAGGGGGCTCCCGTATACCGCGGCATTAGAATAAACGAGCACTGAAAGTCTAAATGGAGTTCTTATGGGAATTATGGTAGCCTTAGGTAGCTGGTGTGGCTAACTAAAGTTAAGTAATTTATCCTCGCTACAATTTTCTACCGCGCAAACTCATATCAGTATTAAGACAAGCGATACGTTACTTTGTGGGCGGCCGAGTCATAATGATGACTTAATATCTTAATATCAAGTTTTATCGAAACTTTCTCGAGCAGGGACGTTTATTATTTATCAATAAATAATGATTTAAACCGGGATTTGTACACCGGATTATATCATATTATATATTTACACCAGAAGCAATATATATAGAAAATTATTTAAGCGTCAATGAATATGTAATTACATGTAATTTAGCCAATGGTACATTTAACAATAATATAGTCGCGACCGACCGTACGCAAATTGATATTCTTAAATGTTTAAAGCAAACGCTCGACTCGTCTTTCGGGATTTCCAACATTCGTACGAGAGCCGCAAGTTTCACTGACTCCCGGCTATCGAGGTCCATAAAATCGCGAATGTATTTTGCAACGGCAGCAGGAAGAAATTCTTGTCCTCCCAGAGTTCTTGTCATTACGGGAAAGTCCTTGGAAAGTACTTCTGAGTCTTGAAAAATTTTACGAGGCTCTCCTTGTCATTTTCTAACGACTGAGCTGTTTTGCTACGACATCAGTTTAACAATCTTATAACGCAGCTTTAAATCTTTGACTAATTAGTACGATTAATTAGTATTTTCTTTTAACACTAAATAATTTAATAGGAAATTACCTGAAAATTTTAAGAGATGTTTAAATAATCTGATTTTTCAGTCATGAATAAACGACAAAGACATAATTCAAATTAATAATTGCATATTGTTATTGTCGTAATTTAATTATCTATAAAATAAAAGCCCTCTCGTCCTCTCCTTGCCCCCCCCCCTCCCTCTCTCTAGTTTCTTTCACTAATCAGTTTGGCAGTTACCGAGGTATCGCGTGTAATGATTCGTCGCAATGGATGACATGGCAATGTTTAATCCGGGACGATATCCGGGACGTCCAACCAGCATAGCTAATGAGGCAAAATGTCTTCAATTAAGTGTATCACAAGGTATCGACATATCAGCGTACAAGATAACGAGGCACAGCCGTCATTTGAAGCGATCGATATAGCGTTGCCAGAGGTCCCTTTGAACGTATACACGTGCAGGCGCGTACGTGTATAACCGATAGGAATGAGGTGCGTATTAGCAAACATCAAGCGGGCTAATTTAAAATTAACTAATCACTCGCAGATAAATGCAGTTACGGCATCACGTCGAGATGTAAATTAGCATTAGGTTGCTAATTTACTATGTGTGGATTAGACGATCATTATGCGGCTAATTATGCCGCAATAAACTAAATGTAATAATGTTTGGCCGAATGTAACAGTATTGCTGCACTATTGCTGCGCACAAAAGTCGTGCGAATATCACTGTAGCTTTCGTATATTTAACTAAATAGAACGAGCAAGCAAAACACTCTCCGAGAGTAGAGACTGAGCTTGATTTTACATCTTCTTCATACATTTATAGGGTGTGTAACAAATGTTCTTTCACGTTCTGCTAAGTTCCGTCGACGATATTCCTTCGAAATAATGATAACAATTGTTTCTGCATTGAACGTAAATTGCAGCCATTATGAAGTAATTAGCGGCGCCTCCGTGATATATTAATACGAGATCACGAATTCCGAGTGATATGTTTATTAGTCCGGTACGCCGTGCGACACGTTACATATATAAATTGGCACCGATTTAATTATCAGGCCCCTGCTATTGGCAGACGCGTGCACACTCGGCTTTGATCGAAATTCTCTAACAAAGCAGCTTCGCTCATACATCTTAGAGCGTGTAAGAGAGCAAATAGCGTCCTCTGCGACAGATCGATATGGATGCACGTGTGTACACGCATACGTCAATAATCAATTAAATTATCGGCAAACGCGTCTAGTTAGACGCCATCCTAATTTGCGCCTCCAATGCCCAAATCGCTATAGCGGTATATAGTTATAGGGCCAGCCGTTTGCTAATTATTTGCGGCGAGCAGAAAACGCGATCTAAACAGGCGATACCGCATCGCGCACTCCGCGCGAGGGTCGTTAATGGTATTTCGGTAACATCAGGTCGCAAGTGCGCACTAATTAACGCTATGTCGATAGCAATGCTACATGTCCTGGCACGCCAAGAAACACATAGGCGCGCACGGCTATAACCGTGGCGTCACATTGCGTTTACAATCTATCAAAACGCGATAAATCGGTCGCGAAATTATCCGTAAGCGGCAAAACCTTCGTACGGGGTATTGAACCGAAACGAATTTAATCGTATTTGCTCTGAGCACTGCAAAATTATCCACAAACAAAGAATGTTTTGCGAGAGAAAAGTTAACAGTACGCCGCGATTGCAAATCAAATTCCGGAAAATTATGTAGGTTAAAATTTTGCATTACGCGTACACATATGCGAGTTCCCGCCGCTATTTATTATAATTTATCAAAATGCGGAAACACGATAATTATGAAAATGATATTTTTGATAACGTACCATCATGGCAATTTTCGTGGGAAAATATGGCGCAAAATTGTCATATATTAATATTTATTGCCCCGTCGATTCTTCATCTCGCGTATTATTATTAATATCCGCTTCTCTAATAGTGGAATACATAAATAAATATCTGTAAATATGTAAATACAACGACTCCAAGTTGCGATTACATCCACAGTTTGTTCGCGTTTGCCTGTACACTCGCGAACAAAATCCCTCCGTATCTACGTCAGCCCGCGTACAAGCAAAGCGATTTTGACCACAGAAATTTCGCGCACATCTGTGCATCTATACATCAGCACTGTTTTCATTCCGGGATTAACTTTTACTCTTCCGCCAGACTAACGTCATTCGAGTTTTTATTCATTTCCGCTCGTTAAATGTAGCATATGTAGAAAAGTCGACGTACACAGATTCGGACGATGAATGACGGTAACTAACTGGAGCACCGTCTCCGCGTGTGCCGTGTGTGAATCGTGTCGCGTCGCTCTGCCAATGGCCGCTAGACGAAAAAATTGGAGGTATTTATTACGGGTAAATTGCCAGCTGAGTTATCCCCGCGAGAGATATTAAATCGCGTGACGGCGTAACGTCGCTTCCGAGCGAGAGCAATTAATTAATGTCGATTGATGCGAATACCTTTCGCGTGGACACTCACGGACCAGCTACGATATAAACGCAGACAGCGCCGTGGAAGCTGGATAGTGTCTAGCAACTTAGTTCCGAACCTTCTATCTGCGATCAATTACTCTTCGTGCAGTTAATTACTCTTTGTCTAGCTTCTGGCAATACGTTACTCTCCTTATTCTCGCGACGGATCAGGAAAGTGTTGCCTTAAAATACCTGCTTGAATTTTAAAGCGTCGTTCCCTATTTCCCTCCAATGACATATATGCAGAGATCTTCTTCCTATAATAGAATATGTAATATATATAATGAAATAATATAATGTATAATCCGGTTAGCTGAAATTTCTTACAAATCTGTCATGTAATAATTTATGTGATCGTTCACATTATTAGCAAACGCTATAATTTTCCCAAAGTTGAACCAACGTAAAAGTGACATTTCTACCGTCCTGAACTCGATCCTTTATAAATATCCTTTTCAAGCTGGCTCGAAAATTTTTCTAGCAACTCGATTATTTCTACAATATATACAGCTGACGTATTCCTTAATATTCCTACGGTTTCTTCCAAAAACATAATAAGCTGATTCTCCCATTCCCCCTTATCACGCTTTCCTTCTGCTCTCCTCCGAGAAGGACACGCGGACGCAAGGTTGGGCTAATTGAGCGGGGACTCGATTTCGAGTAGGTCTCTCTATGTTTTCTCTAGGCGACGCACGTACCGCGGAAACCACCGAGGGCTGACTGGTCGTCCAGGATTGTGCCAAGAAAAAGGAATACGTAGACGCGTGTAGTTTTACTCTTAAGTCGATTAAGTTCCTTTTTACTTGACCCTCCACCTCAGGCGCTGGGACAGAAAATATTTCGAGAGGCGGCTTTAAAATCCCGGGTGCTTCGTGTAGAGACGTGACCGAATAGCGATCGAAGGTTTTATCCGGACCGAAAACAATGGCGGCAAATTGGAAGGCAGGCAATATCACGTGGACTTCCGTAGCACGTCCTTGCACGAGGAGCCAAGTCTGTCTTCTCTGCTTTAAATATTGATTCCGGAGATTGGCGAAATCAAACTAGAATTCTCTCCTGCGCCCTCTCTCACTCTCTCTCTCTCTCTTGAAAAACCAATCTTGACAAATGTTGCTATGCAACGACAAAAGTGCTAGACACATATTAAAGACCAAAAGAAATATACACGACTTAATACGGTCATTTTGTAATTATGTTACAGCTGTTTGTCGAATGCTCTGATGAAGTCATCACTCAACGGAGAACATGAAGACCGATTATTTATCGATAATCGCTAGGTTCTGTACGTTGCTGATACTATGTGGACCAGTCACGGATGTCCATTCGCTCGACATACGTGAGTACAACTCGCAATAATAATGAAATTCTAAAATTATTCCAAATTTTTAACAATCTAAGTATTGATAGTCTAAAAAATTACGCACGCCGTTTAAATAGAGTAGAATTGCACAGTTTGGAAGTAAAGCTGTCAGTGGATACAACTCGAATACTTTGGCGTTCCATTTCTATGACGCAACGACGCAATGTTTAGGAGTAGCGATAGCGCTAATTGAAAAGGGTACAATTTTAACACAGCGAAACGTTGATAAAGCATTCTGCGACCTAGAGCGGCAGTTTTTGCGGGCGAGAGGTGACAGAGGCGATAACAAAGAAAGTCTCGTGCAGTCAGCTGCGCGAGAAGTCAAACGATGTGTTTCCGCGCGAATTCCGGGCTGTTGCAGCTGCGGAAAGCCCATTCTGCATCCTTACCTTGCCCCATACCGCACCCGCGGCATTCTCTCCGACTCCTTAGCTCGCTCCTTCCCGGCTGTCAAATTTTTCATCGGGAGCAGGTGATTTCCGAGTTTTTATTTTCCTCGGGCCTGCGCTACGATGGGGGTGCTATCACTCTGAAGTAATGACTCGCTATTCTCCATCCGCCCGGGGGATCAATTATTTTGAATCTAATGCGACAGGATAAATTGCATCCCGCGGAAGTCTCCTTGCGCCGCCCTCTCTTCTTCGATTCCTCTATCCCTTCCACGGGTCGCCGGCTAAGGGAGCCGAGCAATTTTGCGCTAAAAGGCGCACCACCTTCGGAAAACAATTCCCTCATTACCCCGAACCGAGCAGGCCGCCTTGCTGCTCGAACAAATTGGTCAGAGAACGTGTATCGATTGCTTGCATTGCCTCTCGTGTATACCGAATATTTAGAATATTCTCTATAACCTCATAATGAGAAATTTAATATGTCAAAAATCTAAAAAAGGACCGTACGCGAGGTTAATTATTACATTCAACTTTGACATGAACTTTGTCGTGTTTTAAGAAGTAATTGAGCTTCCAGATCTTCTATATTTCTGAGGGATAATATTAAGTAAATCAGTATGCTTTATCATTAATTTAGCGTATTACACATTTACGTGTTCTACCATTTTATTTGATATAAATGCGAATTCAATAAATTTTGTTACGCCGTGCCATAGAATGGCCGAATCGTATCTCGTTTATAATGAGATTAACGTTTATTGTATGAATAAATTGGCATTGAAACTCGTATACCGATTTACCAGGAAAAACGAATGAAATATATCGATGCTACGATTCTTGACTTTAGAATCGTAAATTCGATATTTTTACTTGAATAAAAAGTTGAAAAAGAACAAGCAATGAAGCAAATATCAAACGCGCCGAAGACATTAAAAAGAAGTTTAAATCGAAAAGCTTTCCAAAGTATATTCAACATCATCTGAATCGAAACGCTCCGATGATTTTTATCAAAGACGATCGTTGATTTCCGCTGAGATACTTGAGCGGCGTGTCTTTTTTTGCGGTATAAAACTCGGCGAAATTCTTTCTTCGTCAATCGATTATCGGCACATAAAGCGCTATGGTTACCGAAAGAGCGTTCAAGCCGCTTAAAAAGTTCCCGAGATTATTGATGTTTCCGTGAAGACCGCAATAAAGGAGCTCGTGTCTCTATTTCCACGTTGCTGTAATACGATCCGTGATAGTGTACGTGCCCAAAATGATACGCATTTAGAATGAGACACGCGAGTTTATCCAAGGCTCCCATTTTCGCTCGAATGTTAAACATGTTCCCCTCTTCTCTAGTCCTTCACCGTCAGCACCTTCGCGTAAGCCGTATATAATATCTTATTTATTAATCGAACGGAGTACCGGCCTTAAAGACCACACTAAACAGAGGATGCATGTACACTTGCGTCATCGCGTTACGTGTACGACTACGTCATATTTTACAAAAGGTCAGCGCCATTACTCTTACACCTTCCTCGCGGTAACGACTTCCTCGAGAGACGACTTAATGGACGAAAGGTCGTAGAAGCGGAGGAAACGACGAGGAACACCTAGCACGTAGAACGCCGTTGACACAAATGCCCTGACCATGATTTAAGGATGTTTTCCACTTAAAATAGTTACGTAACTTTAAAGCGTATATATTCGATAACGTGACACGTTTACCGATAAAAAACACATCGCTACGGTGATTTGTCAGAATCTAAACTAATGTCTCGAGTTTTCGCCGAGCAGTTGTATTAACGAAAATAAGATGGAAAAAAATCCGATAAGGCGGACTGTAAGCAGGTATGAAGGGAGGGTATACAGGACAGCGGAGGATTGGAGGGAAGGATAAACGGGCGACCATTGTTGCGAGCTTTCGCCGGTGCTAGGTTCCGCCGGCGTTTTCCTCGTTATGGTAAATGGTCTTGTCTTCGTGGTTGGGCAAACAGTTACACAACGATAAGTGCTAGCGGGCGCAGTCGGCCGCCGTCTCGAGACAGTTTCGAGGACCTCTGCTCTCTGTTCTTGTGTCCTTTGAACGGTAGTTCCGTGACTGTCGTAGCTGAGATTCTCTGAAAGGTGTCCGGTGTGAGCGCCGAATGACTGCTAAAGATGCACAAAGGTTCCCATTATCCGCGAGCAAATCATTCCGTTTCGCGCCGCTGAAGCTGCACGAGCACACGCGCGTTATTACTTCGGGGATGTGCCCTGTCTCGGCATAACCGACAGGGCAACGAGATGAACCAAGTGGATACATGTCAGAAGTAACAACTAAACTTATATTGTAAAATTAACTTGAGAATGCACGGCTTCTGGTAAAAGTTTGCAATGTTGGCGTGGTGCTAGATAAGAAAGATACGGTAGGCGAAGTGGAAGACTATTAACGTATAAGACTTCAGTAGTTTACTAATAAGAATAGCCAACGCGCGAGAGATTCTTCCCAGTATTAATTTCTGGTTAGTGATGTTTTACTTATGTGCTCTTAAAACAGAAATTCAGTGCCTTTGATAAATTTAGATTAAATACTCCATTAAGTATTCACTTAATTAAAATCAAATATTGAAAGATTGATTCCAAATTGATGATGGAATATATAGATTAGAAAGAGTAGATCTGGGTCATAACGTATATCTTGTGCTGTTACGAGGTCTGTCATTTCACCGAAGAAACTTATGATACTCATGATACAAACTCACGATTTGAATATGCAAATCACAATGGGTTATTTTAGCAAAGATATGCAAGAGTGTAATAAAACTTTTTAATGAAACTCTTCGCAGTTTTCTTTAATACATAAAAAATTTTTCCATGTAAATATGTGAGCGATCGTAAACTTGTAAAATAATCCCGCGAGAACGCGCTTTGCATAAGAGACAAAGGCGGCGGTCAGAAATCGAAAGGGTCCCAAAACTCTTGCTTAATGATTTACAAATCTTGTTCTAAACTATAGACCGTGGTGCTCCCCGATTTAATATTCGACTGCAGTATCTCAAGCGCGATCGTTTAAACTTCATTCCAAAGCACTTGCGAAAAAACCCTTTATTATTCCAAACGCCTATTTTCATGCACGAGAATCCGTTCGAGAATGATCTATACATTTTCTTCAACGGGGCTAGCTCTCATAAGTCGACCAGGAGCGTTTAACAACGTTATAACTTCGGTAACTAGGGCAAATTTGCCGGCAAAGGAGATTTCTACACGTCGTTCTACTTTCTCGCCGATAACAAATTAGCCAAGTTCAATATTTGACTTGGTAATGATTTCGGCATCGCTCGCATTACTTACATGGCCTATCCATATAGACACATAGCGCTCAGTGACAATTTACCTAGCTTGCAAGAAAATCAATCACAATGAGTGTTATCAGTACATAAACGAGACTATAAATTAATTTTATCTTTCAGGATTCAAAATTCGTAATTTTATGCGTCTTTTAATCTTCAAAATTGAGAAATCCCGTTATAAAATTTTATTAAAAAATCTTGTTATAGCATCGAGAACACAAAGAATTTATTGGATTGTTTTTTAATTAACATTAATACTCCTTGCTAATATAATCAAATATTCCGTGTGTTTAATTAGTAGAACATTACTTGTCAATGATTGAATAATTTCTTCAATATTATATAAGCCACTTTTATTATATGAATCAGCAAATGCAATGATTCCATGAATTAACATTAGCCGCTTATGATCATTATTGTCCTTTGTGAAATTTAATTGATTTCATTACCAGGTATTGTTAACAGAGAAATCATATTTGTGTAATATTCAACGCGAGCATTCATTCTTCATGCACGCGCGATTACATTATAGAAGCTGATCAAAGGATGATTTAACTGTCAAATGATTAGAGAAGATCCGATAATTATAAGAAGATTATAGATTAAGATGAGATAATGAGAGAGATGATGTTACGACCCTCCTGTCCCGCGTGCGTTCCTTCGACTTCGATTAAAATCCAATTTTTCTTCGCCGCCTACCACGTCACATTGCCGATAGATCAAATTCGCTACACCTTGGCGGTGACTTTGATGCCTCGAGAAAAATTCCTATTCACCCTCTCCCAGCCACCGTCGCTTTCTCACGTCACCCCGTTTAGCTCGATATCGCGTCCGACCTTTTTCCCATTTTCCACTAGACAATTCTTCCGCCTAGCCTTTCAATTTGAAATGCAGAAGAGTTCCAGGCATTCCCGACTAAATCCGGAATCGTGTTGTCGTCGGTTAATTCCCGAGCGTGCTATTTTTCGCGCGTAATATCGCCTTTCCATTGTCAATTCTCCATGTCACTTTTGAAATGAGATCGGCAGCGTGGAAAGGACAGTGATATTGATTTTCATAATGGAATTTAATATTTAACCGTGTCAAATTAGTAATATACCCAAGTATTGTCCAAATAAAATATTAACTAGTTACTTAAATGACGTCATTTAAGTAACACAAAAATTTATACCCATATAAATATACATATACCACACTATTGCTGATAATGTTATATATAGACACCCCTAACATTTAAATAGGTGTCTTATCTCTAGTTACGTCACTACTT